CTCACGGTCTCTCCTGCCCGGGCTGGCTTTGAACCGCGATCCTCAGATCTCAGCCTCCTGAGTAGCTAGGATTACAGGCGTGAGCCACCAGCGCCCAGCAGTAGTTCTAAATTTTGTTTGTTTTATAACAGGATAAGTATAAATAACAAACTGAAAATCTTGAACCATTATCACTGCCGAGCATCATTCTCTGAAAAGCAAGAGGTGCACCTAAAAGTGCTTTGTCAAAGCCAGAAAAATTACTTATTTTGGTACCAGGAGAGTTTTGTAGCATTGCATCACAGATATTCATAGTAAGAACATTTGCACTCAAATGTCAGAGCTTAAGAAGTTTCAGATTTTGTAGTGTTTCAAATTTTAAGATTTTTCAGATTAAGAATGCTCAACCTCTAGTAAACTATAGAACCAGAAAACATAAAGCTTCTTTAATTACTGTGTTTTCTTTACTTTTTACTTAATGTAAGCTTCCTACTTTTAAGTCCTATCAAAAATTATTTTGGAGAGAATTGCTAGGGTTTATTTAAATTTTTTATTAGCATATGTTGTACAAGGTAGGTTGTCTTGTAACATTTCCATATATGCATGTAATATACCCATCAAACTCATCCCCTCCAAATTTTCCCTCATCTTTCCTCCCTCCTTCTTGCAACTATTTCAACTGCTTTCATGGACTGAGGAAGAGAAAGGAAATGAGAAAGAGAGATCGGTTGATAGCAGATTTGATACCACTAAACAAGGAATTAGCAAAGTGTAAGATAAATCTGAGGAATAGAACTAAAATAATCTGTTTGGAAATCAAAATATGAGAAGGTAATTTAGACAAGGGGATGTAGGGGAGTAAAATGAAAGATGAATAAATATATTAGGAAAACATTAATGAAGCAAAACCCACAAAGAATAGGCCAGGTCGTGCTGGTGGTGATAGTGGTGCTGTTGTAGTGATGGTGGTGCTGGTGCTGGTGATTCTGGTGGTAGTCATAGGAGACCTAAGTCTTTTCTGTTATAGAAGCATAAATAAAAAAGACTTCACCAAGTCTTAGCAGATTATAGCAGTTTACAGCATTAGTGAATGCCACTGCACAATGCAAATCCCCCCCTGTAAGCTTAGGTGACTCCTGACTTGTACCCTGGATGATAGTGTGTCAGGCACTGGGTCCATTCTTCATCAGTCCTCACAGGCCTACACAGACCAGTTCCATGACTGTATCTCACAAATGAAGAAAGGCTGTCCTTGCAAAAATCATACATTAATAATGACTGTGACTAAGATTAGAGCCCGGGCATTCTTACAACAAACCCCTATAATGTCACCAAACTGCCTCTCAACAGTCAGTCACTAACACCATTTATCATGTGGTTGACTTTCCTGGGTTAGGGGCATCCAATTACCACTAGATTTGCTAATAGTAAGGTTATAGCTGCAGCCAATGAGGTACTAAGTGGCTTGACTGTAATGGATGAGCAGCGGAACAGGTCTTCTGATGGATTACCAATGACATTGTAAATAGGTGCAGCCTTTTTTGGAAAGCATTTTGGCAGCAGGCTTTAAGAGCCATAAAGTGCTCATATTTTACTGACCTAGTTAATGCCACTTCTGGGAATCCTCTAAAGAAATAAACCAATATGGAGAAAACTCCAAACACTAAAGTGGTCAGCACAACGGTGTTTGCAATATTGTACCTGGAGGCAGCCTGGGGGTTCAACAACGAGGGAATGACTCACTAAACAAATGATAGAGTATTTACTTAGCCAGCAAACATGAAGTGTAATGTAACATCGACAAGAAAAACACAGTCATCATGAGTTTGAAAAGCAGTACCCAAAATGGCAAATACACAAAAGTACATCTGTTACAAAAATGAAAGATAAGGAGCATGAAATAATTGAATTGCTTTGATTGTATGTCACAGTTTCCTGTCCTCTAATTTTGAAGAATTTGTAATATAGACTTATTTCTCATCAGATTTCTATTTTTGTGGATTGGTCTTATAACCCTCACTCTCTCTCAGAGGCAGATGGTAGGGAAGAGACTAGAGGCTCCGTTCTGACTCTAGCTACTCTATGGGTTCCTCCTTACCAGTTGGCAGACCGTGGGCAGTCACTGTGGATCTTAGTGCAGTCAGGTGACCCATGTGGGCAGTACAGTCTGGGGAAAGCAGGGTGGGACCCTGGACGTCCAAGACTCCCACTGAGCATCTTCTCAGACAAGATGTACAGTTTCCTCATCTGTGTGAATGATGTCAGTGTTGGACACCTTTAGTACTGCTCTGAAAAGGATTCTTCTATATAAAGTGATTTGCACCTTTCTTTGTCCTTTGATGACAGTAACAAATGAAAATTAGTTCAGCTAACTTCTTTGGCTAAAATCCTTTGAGCTTCAGTTTTGTATGTTGATCATCCATATTCTAATATGTTCAAAGCCAGGCTGAGCAGGAAAGTCTGTGAGACTCTTATCTCCAGTTAACCACAAAAAGCTACAAGTGGAGCTGTGGCTGCTAATCTTGAACATAAAAGCTCAAGAATAGCAGCCAGGCTTCAAGTTCAAGCCCCAGGACTGGCACCAAAACAAACAATATAATGGAATATAAATAACCAATGCAAAAAGCATTGGTTATTGGAGATGGGACTTAGCAATAGAGTACCTACATAGCAAGTGTGAAGCCTAGGTTCACAAACTTCAGTACCACCAAAAAAAAAAAAGGCATCTATGAGACTTCTGAGTAATTGGCTCTACTAAGCAAATCGTAGAAGGAAGAAAGTCACATAGAAATTTGGCTGAATGAACTTTATGCTGTTCTTAAAAGAATATTAGTTTTACTTCGTTCACTTTATTGAACTGCTTCTGTAACTGATTGATGATTACAGTAATTTATTTTTTCAGTACTGCCTGTCAGGACACCCAACTTTGCCATGCAATGTGCTCAAATTCAAATCAACCACCATTATGCTGGATTGTGGACTGGATGTGACTTCTACCCTCAACTTCCTTCCTTTGCCCCTTGTTCAAAGGTATGTGCTGTTGTGACGTATCTGAGACAAGATGAACTTTAATTAGCTGAAGAAATAGTCCCCAACTACTGTGAAGATTACTACTGCCTTGTGTGTCATCCCATAAGTTTGCTGAATCCCCTTAAAAATGTTCTTTATCAAAATATTTTCCTTTGGCTGCATGTTAGAAAGTGTTCCATTGATTTATTGATTGACCTCTTTTCCTATAACTTCTTCTGGGCTTCTGTAAAATGTTCCTGCAACTGCTCAGTGCAACTGAGGTCACATTTTTCATCCATCTTGCTAATTTATTTAAGAACTGATCATGCCTAGCTAATAAACTAAATAATAGAATTTTAGGATCTTTTAACTACATTTTCAGGGACTGTATCATAGAATCTGATATTTCTTTCTTTTCCATAACCATCTGCATTGTCTTCATATTAATCTACTTTAGGTGTCATTGCATCATATACATAGCCCAAGCCTATGTCTTCAATGAGGTGGACTGCCTGGGGCATGCATGCAGCACTATTTACACTTAACTAAGTTTCATATTAGGAAATTAGCTTCTCAGCTTACTACTATTTAGAAGTGGTAGTTTGTAAGAAAAGTGACTTTTAGAATCAGATATACTCACTATAGAAAAAAAAATGATAGCACATATAAGAGGAGATGGAAAAGCCATCTAAAGCAGATTTAAGAGCTTAAAAGCTTAGCAAGCTGAGTAAACCATGTAATTTATCTTCGTCATTCCTAAAAGACATCACTGAGTACAGTGATTATTCATAATGATAACCCCATGAACCATCTAGAAAAATTATAATCAACCATTGACTTTCCTGAGATAAAGGATACAGTAAGGTGGTGTGGGGATGCGTATCAGCAATGATTCCAGATTGCATTTTAGACATTGCTGATGGAATTCAGTTATAACTACACCCCGCACTTAGAAATATATTTACTTGGGGGCTGGGAAGGTGGCTCAGTGGTAGAGTGCTTGCCTCGCATGCATAAGCCCTGGGTTCTATTCCTCAGTGCCACATAAACAGAAAAAGCCAGAAGTGGTGCTGTGGCTCAAGTGGTAGAGCACTAGCCTTCAGCTGAAGAGCTGAGGGACAGTGTCCAGGCCCAGAGTTAAAGCCCCACAACCAACCAAAAAGTGTGTATGTGTGTGTGTGTGTGTCTGTGTCTGTGTCTGTGTGTGTGTGTGTGTGTACTACTATCTATAGATACCATCCAAAACTCAGTGAAGGGTAATTTACATATCTAACAGGTCTTTCCTTCCTTCCTTCCTTCCTTCCTTCCTTCCTTCCTTTCTTTCTTTCTTTCTTTCTTTCTTTCTTTCTTTCTTTCTTTCTTTCTTTCTTTCTTTCTTTCTTTCTTTCTTTTTTTGTTCCCTGAGCTCTTCAGCTCAAGGCTAGCACTCTACCACTTGAGCCACAGTGCTACTTCCAGTTTTCTGGTAGTTAACTGAAGATAAGAGTCTCATGGAGCTTCCTGTCTGGGCTGGCTTTGAACCATGATCGTCAGATCTCAACCTCTTGAGTAACTTGGATTATAGGTGTGAGCCACTGGTGTGCAGCATGACAGGTTATTTCTCGTAAAAATTGTCTGGAATTTTTTTCTTTTTCTATTGTTGATTGTGGGGCTTGAACTCTGATCCTGGGCACTGGGCTCAGCTCTTCAGCTCAAGGCCACAGTATTACTTCAGGCTTTTTCTGCTTATGTGGTGCTAAGGAATCAAACTCAGGGCCTCATGCATGCAAGGCAAGCGCTCTACCACTGAGCCACCTTCCCAGCCCCTGTCTGGAATTTTAATATCTGTTTCCTCACAAACAGAAAATCATTAATTCATTTGGAGTTTATGAAAAATATACCCTGTGCTCTAACATTAACAAGACTACTTTCTCGTCTGAGTAGAACTTGAAGTATGTCAAGAGTGAAGACTTTACTTGCCTTAAGAAAACAGAGCCAGGTATCTGTGGCTCTCACTTGTCATCTCTGCTGTGTGAGAGGCTGAGATCAGAAGTCTCACAGGACAGCCTGAGACCCCATGCCTTTGGCATATGTCTGTCCAGCGACAGCAGGAAGTAGAAATAGGAAGGTCACAGTCCAAACCAGCCTGGATTACAAAGAAGGCCTTGTTTCAAGAATAACCAGAGCTGAAGGGGCAGGAGGCATAGTTCAAGCAGTAGAGCACCTGCCTACCAAGTGTGAAATCATGAATTCAGACCCCAGTACCCCCCCAAAAAAAGAGGGGAAAAATATGTGTATGTACATAAGTGTGCACACACACACATACACACTTGTGATACTAGCTTTAACAAATAAAATAGACTGTAGACGATTTCCCGTGAGGACTCAGCCTGCTCTTTCCTAGGTGACCAGTGTCAGATCCAGCCATGTGTTCTGTTCACTCTTCACCTGGCTAGTTCTTTCCACAGCTCTCACTCAGCAGTGGAATCTACTCCTCCTCTTCCCTCCCCTCTTGTGGTCTTTTGCTCTTAGAGGAAAGTTACTTAGATGGTGGCAGTTGCCAAGTTGATAAGTCTCCTTAAACTCAGAAACTTTAGGAATGTGCTTTCTGAAAATAGTATTTTCCTTTTTTCCTATCCCCTCATCTTTCTGTTTTTCTCTTTATAGCTCCCGTAGGTGCATTACAATTCCACATTAATTATCTTCTCTCTTCTCCACTAAGTATGTTTCCTGAAGAAGAATTTTGGTTGTTCTCCAGCATATTCCCAGAGCCTAGAACAGTTCTTGGTTATGTAGCAGCTCCTGCTCAGTAAATATTTGTGATAGTGAATGAATCACTTTATTCTCTCTGGATCCCACCCTATCTACCTTCTCACAGTTTTTTCCCTAACTAGTTATAACTGTGGCACAGTTATCAAAATCAGAAATTTTACTTTGCTCCTATACCAGTTTCTAATCTGTATACCTTATTTATATTTCCCCAATTTTGCTACTTAAGATTTCACTGTAAAGCTCTTTAGCAAGAAAGAAGAATTTTTGATCCAGGATCCCACCCAGAAGGCACACTGAATTTAGTCATGTTTTCAGTCTACTTTAATTTGGAAGAGTTTCTCACTCCATCTGTTCTTTTATGACCTTCACACTTTCAGAAATAAAAGCCAGTTCTTTTATATAACATCTTTAAATTTTTGTTTCCTCCTGATTAGGTTGGCATTCTTACTTTTGATATGAATACCACCCATGTTGGTGTCTCAAAGGCACATGATTCCATTTTCCCAGAATCTTCTTTCTGAAACACAGTTTTAACTTGTCTCTTACTTGTCTAAAACCTCTCAGTGTTTTACATTACTCTTGAGTAGACGACAAACTCGATATACTGTGTTTATGCATGTGCTGTAAAGGCATCCCCTTACTCTACCTCTTGCCCTTTGTTTCATCTTATCTCCTGCCTCAGAGTAAAAACCCCTTTTTTTTCCAGCCTGGAAGGCTCTTTTGTTGGTGGTGTTGCTGGTAGTTATCATGGGACTTGAAGTCTGGGCCTAAGCACTGTTCCTGAGCTCTTCAGCTCAAGGGGAACACTCTACCACTTGAGCCACAGCACCACTTTCAGTTTTCTGGAGGTTAATTGGAGAGAAGAGTCTCAAGGACCTTCTTCCCCAGGCTGGCTTTGAACCGCAATCCTCAGGTCTCAGCCTCCTGTATAGCTAGGATCACAGGTCTGAGCCACCAGCGCCTGGCCTGGAAGGCTAGTTATCCCCTCCCATCCCAGCTTCCCTCACCCCAAGGAGCACCAGGTCATCTTTCAGATCATCTGAGGTGACCAGTTTTATGCCAGGTGGACTTGGAGCTAGTATTCTAGGTGGTCAGGGGACTAGGAGAGTGTATATGAACTCTCTGAAGTTTCACTTGCATTACCTTTTTTATGTGAGCTAGCCCTGCCAAGTCTAGTGAAAAATGCCAGGAGGATTTCCTGGGCCTAATAGCTGCTTTCTTTCTCAGTGTCCTAGGAACCCTGCTCCTTGACCAAGTTTCCCCCTTGACCCTGTTTAAACATCATATCCCAGGGAAATCTTCTGATGCCACCTAGACTGGCCCCTCCTTAGGCAACTTCTATGATACTTGGTACCCCTGTGGAAACCATTTCTTTCTCTAAGAAATAGTTGTAAAGTGGTAATGCAAAGATGTTCATTCTAATCATAATTTTTCTACTGGTTTCACCCCTCATATTTTATTAAGTATATTTTTCTGTGGTGAGGTCTGTTTACAGGGTCCTTTGCTTAGTTTTTATGCCTGTCCTGGGGCTTGAACTCAAAGTCTGGATGCTGTCCCTGAGCTTTTTTGCTCAAGGCTAGTGCTCTACCACTTTAGCCACAGCTCCCCTCCTGGAGGTTTTGGGTTAATTGGAGATAAGAGTCTCATAGATTTGCCTGCCCACACTGGCTTCAAACCACGATCCTCAGATATCAGCTTCCTGAGTAGCTAGGATTACAGGCATGAGCCACCAGCATGTTTACAAATTTTCCTACATTAAAACGGTATAATCATTAGGATCAAAATAATAAGTCCTTTCCCTTGTGGTTTATTTGTGGGAACGGATTAAGCAGATAGTTTCATGTCTTCAGTTAGCACCTTTGCCATTTGTAACCCTAATCTGAAGTTCTCTGAGATTTGTACACATTGTTAGAAAAAAGTTTTATATTTAGAATATTTTAGACTTTAGAGTTTTGGATTAAGGATGTTTAACCAATAACATCTGTGTAAATGTTCCAAAATCTAAGTGCTCCAAAATCTGAAATACTTGTAGGTTCAAAGCATTTTAGATTAGGCACACTTAGCTTGTATTGTTCAGATGTGGTCTTGCTTTCCTTCAAGTATTAAATCCCATCTCTTGTCCTGAATCCAAAATAAATGAGTGTATTTAATAGAAGGCTTTGATTATGGAGACTAAGGCTGGGTGCCAGTGGCTCACATCTGTGATCTTAAGCTACTCAGGAGGCTGAGATCTGAGGCTCATAGTTGAAAGCCAGCCCAGGCAGAAAGGTCCATAAGACATTTTTTTTTTTTTTTTGCTGGTCATGGGGCCTGAACTCTGGGTCTGGGCGCTGTCCCTCAGCTCTTCAGCTCAAGACTAGCGCTCTACCACTGGAGCCACAGCGCCACTTCCGGCTTTTTCTGTTTATGTGGTGCTGAGGAACCGAACCCAGGGCCTCATGCTTGCATGAGCTCATGCTGAGCTACTTTCTCAGTCCCTCCATAAGACTCTTATCTCCAATTAACTACCAGAAAGTAAGGGACAATACCTAAGCCCTGAGTTCAAGCCCTAGTAATGGCACAAAAAAAGGAGGTGGGGGGCTGAGAATGTGGTTCAGTGGTAGAGTGCTTGCCTAGCACGCATGAAGCCCTGGGTTCGATTCCTCATAAACAGAAAGAGCCAAAAGTGATGCTGTGGCTCAAGTGATAGAGTGCTAACCTTGAGCAAAAGAAGCTCAGGGACAGTGCCAAGGCCCTGAGTTCAAGCCTGAAAACTAGCAAAAAAAAAAAAAAAGCTTAAACAACATACTGTTTCTAACCATTTGTCTAGGACAGCTAACTGCATCAGTCATCTCACTTGTGCACATCTGATGAGGACAGAGTGTATGTCCTTTGTCTCGGTTCTCTTTGTAAGTAGAAGTGGGTATTTATAGCCTTGTTTGAGAGAGCTGGCATGCATGAAATGAGAATAATGTCCACATTGTCTTGTCATTACACTTGTATTAGATGCACACCTTTTAAAATATGATCTGATAGTATATTTCTCAAGAGATAAGAATCTATTTGATTATTTAACAAGATTGGAATTAAAAGAGCTAATGGTAATAATACGTTTTTGAGAGGGTAAAGCAGAAAATTCTGTTTGTTTAGAAGATGTTTATTGGATATATATGTGTGTGTGTGTGTGTGTGTGTGTGTGTGTGTGTGTGTGTGTGTGTGTGTGTGTGTATATAGATATATACACAGATAAAATTTGATTATTCCAGTAGTAATGAAATCTGAAATTCTTGCTTTTGACTAATAAAGGCAAGTTAAAAACAGTTAATTTACTTTAAAGAATATCTGGGAGTTGATTATACTTACATTTTTACAGCTTTTCTGTTTAGAAAAATTACTCCCAGCTAGAAGTGTAGCTCAGTAGTATAATGCTTGGTCAGACACATTAGTCCTATATTCACCCTCCAGCACCTAACAAAGTCATTCCCAAAATTCTGACTGTTTTCCTGAAATTGGATGCTCATATGTTTTATTCAGATTTTTTATCTATCCTAGAAGATTGAAAGATATCCATATATTGTGTTTCTCTTTAATTGTACAGAACAAAAATCTGATTAAATTATTTAGAAAAAAAGAGTGAATGACTATATTCATCTACTTGGGTTTCTGATGATAGAATTCTTTTTGTCTTACATTTTTACTCTGCCCTTAATTTTTACTTCACAGACATTAACTTCCAGGTGAAAAGTCGAAATCTTTTTGCCATCCTGCTTGTGCTTTCTCTCCATACGTTTCCTTGGTGATTACAGTTTTCATTTGTCTGAGTGATAGAGTAGGGTTTTGTGGTTTGGGGTTTTTTGTTTTTTGTTTTTTTGCATTTTCAGGTATTGCCATTTTGGGCTTCCAGTATACTCCTCCTACTCAACTAATGTACACAGATAAGTCTTGCAATTACTGGAAGTGATTTTTGAATTCAGTCTTCTTGATATATGTATATGAAATTGCATACATGTAATTTAGAAACTAGATTGCAGACATGTGATCTAGAAACTATCCACCTAGATAGGGAATCATTTGGTAACAGTTGGAAAACTAGCTTTGTTTCCCTGATTGGAAACTCAAGCTGCAGGTGGCGAGTGGTACACACAGGGAGGAGTATATGTGGTTAGAATTCAGAATTGTGGGTCTGTCTTCTCACCCAACATGCAGCTGTTCTGCTGCCTCTGAAAGGTAATGTCACACACAAACAAGGTGAAGTCTACTCATACTAAAATGCCTCATTTGCCTTTTTCTTTATTATTTTGTGCTAAACTATTTAACTTAATATTGTTTTGCCGCAGTATTTTTTTTTTTTCAGTTTAGTTGGTCATGGAAATTTTTGTTTATTTGTGACAGGATCTTGCTATGTATACACCCAGGCAAAGCCTTGAATTCACTGATCCTCCTGCCTCTGCTTCTTGGGCTGGGATTATAGGCATGTGCTACCACATACAATTCTTAATCCTGGTACATAGTTTTTAAATTTAATAACATGTTTATTTCTTATCTCTTTATTTTATTTTGAGTGACTATTGCTGCCAGTAATTACAAACTTTTTTTTAACTTTGTGGAGACAGTACAATCACTATGAAGTCACTGAGGATTATAATCTATTTAGGATAATTTAATTTTTGTTTTGCAGTCCCAGGCTGTCTAATCTCCCTGGCTGGTCCCTGAAGGATGGAAATGCTTTCTTGGACAAGGTAATCTCCAAGACAAAAAACTGAAGCCTACCTACACCCTACAAGAATCCATCTTATCCTGTCTGGAGCAACCCTGGCTACTTATGCTTCTTCTTCTTCTTCTTTTTTTTTAATGTATATTCTTCCCCCAAACTCCAAGGTCCATACTAGGGTCTAGGGTCTTTAATACTTCCTAACTTTTTTTTTTGTCGGTTAGGGGATTTGAACTCAGGGCCTGGGTACTGTCCCCAGGCCTCTTTGTGCTCAAGACTAGTGCTCTACCACTTGAGCTAAAGGGCCACTTCCGATTTTTGTGTAGTTAATTGGAGATAAGAGTTTATGAGGACTTTTCTATCAGGGCTGGCTTCAAAGTGTGATGCTCAGGTCTCAGCCTCCTGAATAGCTGGGATTATAGGTGTGAGCCACCAGCACTGTGTGGTAACTATTATTTTTTAGCATCTTTGAAGAGAATCGTAGTGTTTGCCTTCAAATCAAATATGTACAGATATAAACATCTTAAATATGTCTGCTGCTAATATTTTTTCTCACCCCAGAAAGAAAATAATTATTTTCAGAATAGCAACTAGGGTTTCAAAGGTGATGCTTATTAACTGTTTGGTCAGCCAGCTTAAATGTAATACCAACACTACAAAAATTATATAGTAAAGTAAAAGATCAAATCAGAGACACCGAAGTTTAAGAACTATAGCTTCTCTATGCCAATTCTTGGTCCTCTAAATCCTTCCTCTAGGTTTCACAGTTGAAAAAAACTGAATGAATTTGAAGATGTTTTACATGATTCATCTCAGTAAGACATTTCCTTCTTGTAATAGATATTGTTAAATGAAGAGGTGCTTTTTTTCCAGAATTAATTCCTGTAACGCACCCCAAGCTCAAGTGCAAGCCAGATGCATAATTTGAAACCAGATTTCCTTCACAAGCTGACTGTAAAATTACATGACATTCGGGAACCTATGTACCTGATTTCAGCCTGAGCCTCCTGCTAGCTATAAATCATTGTTCCCTGAGAAAGGCTCAGAAGCAGCCCATTACCAGTGCATTGTGAGTGGAAAGACTTGCGTGTGTATGTGGGAGGATTTCATTAGAAGGGAGTGGTGAATAAAAGAAAGTGACATTGTAAGTGTTTGGAATAGCAAATATGCTTCTGCAGGCCAGGAAGGAGAGCCACAGAGCAGACTGTATCAAATGATGTGCATTATAGGGAGGAAGCACAGAGCTCGTTTAAAGTCACGCAAAGGCTTGAAACTTCCCGTGATTTGTCTTTAATCATTTTTATTAATTTCGTTATTATAAAGGAGTTGTACAAAAGGGTTACTATTCCGTAAGTCAGGGAATTGAGTGCAGTGCTTCTTGGACTGGGTCACCCTTTCCTTTGTGTCTTTAATCATTTTTACCCTCATCCTAAGAAAGCTGGGAGTCATGACTACTCATTTGCTTTTAGCTGGCAGGTACACTGTCATTAAGAACTATTTTCAGTCTCTCTTTGGCACAGTCAGTCACTAGGTGAGTAGTACTCATGTACCTTACCTTGTGCTTGTAGTAGAGGAACCAGTGTGCACAGTATATGGGAGGAGAAATATTCTCAAGCTTCTAATATGACCCTTGTAAAAGTTTCAGGTAAACATTGAGGGTATATTCAAATTCTGATACATAAATACATAGAAATACTTGTTCAGTATCTAATACAAGCATGATAGAATGAATCTGTAGTGGCATTTTTTTCATTTCTTACAAAAGGAAAGGATACTGCCCACCAATTTCTGACTGGTGCTTTTGCTTTAAAATCATAGATAATTTTAATCTTGATGATAGAAAAACTCCACCCAGTTTTGTCCAAAGAGCCACTACAGGAAGCAACCTACTCTCATGTCTCCTGGAGGCATTGTAGCCGAAGTCCCTCAGGCTTTTTCCTTTTAGTGTGCTCCAGCGTAATTCCAGCCTCCTGTATCTGTGGGCCTCTGCCTGCACGTGTCTGTCTAGAGCTGCCCATTATGCAGTTGTTGGTAAATAGTAGCTGCCTGATACTTACCAGCCCTCCCCCCCAGGAGAATTCTGAGGTGTGCGTTTTATACCATTTCTCATGAGTTTTTGCCACAGGAATAAGTTCTAGTTGCTCAAAAATGGGATGTGGCTTAATAACATCCATTATCAGCCACCTTCCTTGTTTATATGGGAGTTCCTGGAAAAATGGCACCTCCCATAAAAACTTCTTGCTCTCAGACCCTTTTCTAAGGGCCAACCTTTGGGAGAATCCAGAGACAGTCAGACATGACATATGATAAGGCATAGCTGAGTAGGGAGTTATACTTCCACTTTCAACTATTCTATTTTTTTTTTTTTTTTGTCTGTCTTGGGACTTGAACTCTGGGCCTGGGCACTGTCACTGTGCTCTTCAGCTCAAGGCTAGTGCCTGAGTCACAGCACCACTTCCAGTTTTCTGGTGGTTGATTAGAGATAAGCGTCTCACAGAATTTCCTGCCTGGGCTGGACTGAACCAGGATCCTCAGATCTCGGCCTCCTGAATAGCTAGGGTTACAGGTGTCAGCCACCAGTGCCCGGTTTATATTCTATTTCTTTCTTTATATGTGTGCCTTTTTCTTTTGAATAAATGCATTTGGCTTATAGTCCAAAATAAAGTATATGTTCTACGTGTATATCCACAGTGGTGGGGATGGATGTTTCCTCCTGTTCCCTACCATGTAGCCCAGGCTGGCCTTAAACTTAGATCGTCCTGCCTTGGCTTCCTACAAATTGGGGGCGGGGGGGGGGGTAGCACTTGTTCCTTTTCCCTCAACCCTCAGTAGATTGACGATAGACTCAAATGATTTATCTGGGGACATACCTTCTTTTTTATTTTATTTTATTTTATTTGTGAAGATACTGTACAGAGGGGTTACAATTACATGGGCAGGATAATGCGTACATTTCTTACCAAGCATTGCAGCCTCCTCCTTTTGTTTACCCTTCACATTCCTTCCCAGCCTCAACCCTCCCCCCAATCCCAATCTTTCTCCTTCCCCCCCTTCCCCCTGGGGACATATCTTCTAACCTGACTGAGTAGCAGAATTACTGGAACTGTTTATTATAAATACAAGTTCCATGATCTCATGGGCACTTGATGGTCCCTTTAAATACGTCCAGTAGCTTTGATTAATTGACATGTCCAGATAACTGAGATTGTTAGTATATTCTTCACAACTATTACTTGGAAACCATTGCATCACAGGTTATACAAGTGTCATGGTTCCTTGCCTGGCTTCTCAAAGAGGCATCTAGGGAACATACATTCACATCCTGAACAAGCAACATTTTTACCCTCAATACATCTCTTAGCCAACCTGAACCTACACAAGGAACATTCTGCCTAAATAGCCTTCCACTTTCAAAGTTTGGTTTAGAGGTTATATTTCTTTGGTCCTGTATCTACTGGGTATCTCTTCCTAATATTTTCCCTCTTCATCTCTTTTAGGAGCTAAAGGAGTGCTCAGGTCACGTATTTGTGGATTCTGTGCCTGAATTCTGTTTGCCTGAGGTGAGATGAAAGTGAATCTTATTGCAGAAAAAAAATTATCATGTAATCTCTCACAATGAAGTCAAGAAGGAATTTTAGAGGCTTATCTTCCTGTTTTCAAATTGAAACAAATCTGTTATTCCTGGCACATTTTTATACAGATAAAACATTTAAGAGCTTTTTATATTGTCCATAACTCGTTTAAGTCACTCCTTCCAATTTCTAGCTCTTTCTATAATCCTACTAATACTTTTGGGACATAGTCTTGAGCAAGATAAGAAAATAACTTGAAAGCCTTTCAGTTTTGTAATTATAATGGCCTTTGTGCTTCGATTGGCCATACTTCCCCTAGCCTTTCTTATAGTGGGTAATTGGTGAGGATTGCTATTATTCATTCAGTGCCAGTAAACTGTAAAAATTCTTACTCTGGCTGAATTGAAATACATTGAATATTGCTTGGAGCTCATGGGTTCCAAACTTAGTCGTAAACACTGTCACAGTGAAACTTCTCAAAGGTTGGGACAAGTTTCATCCTTTAGTCTGGATTAGTTTTAAAAGTGGCTAATGTCTGCTGGCAGGCCTAATCCACAGACTGGCTTGCATGCGGTTCTCAAGACAGAGATGAAATATACGATGAAGTATACAGATGCTGGTGGCTTCACCAGGGTACTTGAGGAAATCAGTGAGAATGTGCCATCCTCCCAATTCGAGTACCCAGTGGGTCACATGCCTGATGAACACTTGCAATCCAAGGCCAAAGGGAAAAAACAGTTTGGAGTTTCATCTGCCCACTTTCTGTCTTTACCCTTTATTTAATACCCTACAAACTTTCTCTCTTTGAATTATGTATATATGCCCTTTGGAGGTAACAGAAAGAAGAACCAGAGAAGGACATGTAATTGAAGTTTGAGATGCAGTAGCAAGAATAAAGGTGTACCTAGGAGAGGAGCACAAATGTCTCTGTGCCTCTGACTGTATAAAATAATACTTATCAAACTGAATTCCAGGAAATGGAAGCAAGAGGTTGTTTTTCTTTGTTGCTCTTTTTGTTTTCTTTTGCCTCATTTGTTCATTTATCTGTCTGTGGGAGGATAAGGGGGCAGCACGGAAATGGGGGACACAGGGCGAACAAATGAACTGTTGAAATTAACTATACCACTTGTGGTGGGGATGGGGGAAAATCTGGGAGAGAAAAGTAAAGCATGCCTATGGTGGTGAGCCCAGTAGATCCCACCCCAGTCCTGGGAGACTTATCACCTTACTGTTTAGAACCCCAAAGGTTGTGTGTGTGTGTGTGTCAAGCACACTGCTGTAAGTTAGGGTTGTTTGACCCAGTTCATGGTGTTTAGAAGCCCAAAGGTTTGTACAAATAGCTTTTGAGGTTAAAATAATTTGTTTTACTTTACCAAGTGAAGGTATATAAGTAATTTTATAAATATATAAATGAGTCACAAATGTAGTTTGGATGCTGAATTTTTTTCTCAGGGAAAACATTTGTGTAAGTTACCTTCTCGATACCAATGTATCAGGAATAAATATAGTTCTTCCCTAGCTGTCCTCACCAAGTTTCTCATAATGCTAAGCTCTGTGGGTTGATTTTCAAAGTTTTCCTGCCCAGCTTCTATACATGTAGTGATGTCTCTGAGCTTTACTGTTGCTCAGCTGTCATCCTGCCACGCTTTCTTCATTTCCTTATTTGCTTAAAAACGATTCTGGAGGGGTTGTGGAGAGTATAATGTCCTTCCTCATAAGGATCTTGTCTGGTAAAAGCAGAGCACAGGAAAGAGATAAGGGTGACACACTTTGACTGGCACGTCCTAGGCTTGTCGCATGCATGGATGCCATGGCCCAGCTGTGGGGCCTGTGACCTCTACTCATACTTGTCCTGAGCTGATGGCGCTTTGGCAGTTTTATTAAATTAACTTACATAGCACACTGCCTTGTACTATTGGTTTGTGTCATAGATTTTTTTTTATGTAGTCTCTGTGGGGGACATACTCGCTCCACAACCTATTTTCCCACCCAGGCCCCTGCTGCGACATGGCTGCCTGTCCTTGGGTCAGTGCACAGTCCCAGGGGGAACTCCTCTGCCAGGCAGTTGAGTGTGGTAGGTGATGTCTCTGCGCCATGGCATCTTGCTTTCCCACAGACCGTGCTCCTCACAGAGCTGACTCCTTCCGAGCAGGTGCTTGGAGATGTGGTGCGGCCTGTCTGCACATGTGGAAGGGAGGAGTCTCAGCAAGGCAATGTTTTCAGGTGCACTTTGCACGAGGCGGTACTGTAAGGGACTTGGGGATCTCGGGAACAAGGGTGTTCTGCTATCCAGGCACATCGGAAGGCCTGGCAAAAGGAAAACGTTGAGCTTAGCAGAGAAGTAAGACATAATTATCACAGAAATTTTCCATCTACTAAAAGAATTTTCCTAAAATCTACCTACCAAATTTGTGGGCCTGCTAACCCTGTCTCTTGTTTCCCATGATCTTTAATCCACTAAGGACAGGAGCTAAGATTAAGATAGAATATGAGGGGCTGGGAAGGTGGCTTAGTGGTAGAGCGCTTGCCTTGCATGCCTGAGGCCCTGGGTTCGATTCCTCAGCACCACATAAGCAAAAAGAAAAAAGCCAGAAGTGGCGCTGTG